AAGTCGGGTTTGTCGATTGTCGGTTGCGCCGATCTCCTTAATCAGCTCATGCTTCTGGTGCAGCTGGCCTGCAGACCCTCGGTGCTCGTCCCCGTCGTCGCCTGACGCTGCATGTCCACCACCTGACCCACCTGGGTCTCCACGATGAATTCCAACTGGCATGGCATGCCGTCCATTCCTCGGTTCTCGTCTCTCTCGGTGGTTAGTTGCTGCAGGTTCGACATGAGGCTCAGTTCCACTCACAGACATCAGAGCACCGCTAGAAACCGCAGGCACATGTACGGCGATCAACTACCGATCCCCCCAAAACAATCTGGCCAACTCCTTCGCGATGCTCCCTCGCACCACGACTTCTGGGGTCTAGCACAGAGGCGATAGCCCTTCATGAATGCGATTCAGTGCCACCCTAACCTTTCTTGGTGATAATGACTGAGTGCCCTTTCCGCAGTGTGAGTACACCCACCCTGCCAGTGAAGAAAGCTCCACTAGCAGGGTAGTGGCACTCACACTCCGTCTGCGCGAAAGCACTCAGCCCATTCTTGGGCAACCTGCTGACGGTACTATTTACAGAGCAGTTTGCTGCCAAACAGAACCAGGTCATGCTTGCTCTGCTGGATTGCCTTATTATGGTGCGGCTGCCGAAGGACTCTGGCAGTGGCTGGTCGCCGAGATACCCATAGATCTTCTCCTTCTGCATCTTTAGCACTCGTCGGGCTCGCCTTCGGACCAAGCCGGCAATGACGTCCCACTCGTCCCTGTGCGGCAGCGGTATCTCCACCTGATCCCAGGATATCTCTCCCGCGACGTTGGACAACACGTCCGCAAAGCCGTTGCCCGTGACAAGGTGCTTGCCGTCCACTTCCAGATTGTCCTCCTCCTGATCGGATGGGGGCCCGGTTCACCGCGACGGTCCTGGGGCTCGTGCCTGACAACGCCCTACTGACCCCGGCCCAGGTGTCCGCGTCTTTTTGCCGACTGTGTGAACTGACTTTCCTCCAGGCCTCGAGCAGCGAGACACCGTCCGTCACGAAGATGGTGTGTCACTTTGTTCCCTCGATCGCGATGGCAAAAGCTGTAAATTTCGCACGTGGTACCATTGGCTGTCGTCCAGGGAGATCAGCCACCGCACCAGCCGCGATGCTCCACTGCTTGTTATCCTTGGCCATACCGTACGCCTATACCTACTTTCAAATCGGGCGTGTCCCTCTACAAGAGGAATATTAAAAGATGAAATAGTCAGGGGACCTTTTTTTTGTTAAAATTATTGTTCGACTATTTGAGGTTTTTTTTTGGGGGGTGGGGGGGTATTTTTAATTGTTCGCCCAAAATCCCCTTGTAGGGGGACGTGCCCGACTTAAACCTACTCGCCTTCGCCGTGGGTCTCGTCCATGTGCTACGCCTGAGCCACTTCCAAAATAAAAGGGGCTTTCCATCAAGTCTTCGGCATCCCTCAAGGTCTCCAATCATAAAGTTGTCCTGTCTATGGGTGTCGGGGGCGACGGGATGTGTGAAGGTCTTCAGAGCAGCACCACGTAGCCACAGCGCATGATTGCGTTCCCATCCCGCGATCGCTTTGGAGATGAGGTGGCTGGCCTTGTCGTAGTCCTCGTGGTTGGCATTGCGTGGGCAAGTCCAGACACTGCGTTGTACAGTATCTCTCTCAGTGCCGCACCACGTGCACATGTATATATATATATATATACACACACCTATATATGTGTATACAAGGCTGCATTGGCGCGTCGCGCCATGCGCCTTGTTCCGGACGCGTCTCGGAAAAGCAATAAGAGCCGGAAAGGGCAGATACTCCGTTGAGCGGCGGTGTAAACAGGAGGATCGGCGTCGATGGGTTCGAAATGGAATAGCGCCGAGTGCGGCAGCAGTGCATGACAGCAAACGACGGCTGTGTCCTCATCTGCTCTTTCCGTTGACCCGTTTGAATCGTCCCGTTGACCTCCTCCTCCCGTTGACCTTTTTGCCTGTTGTTCGCCTCTCATGGGAGGAGGTATGGAAAGAAGGCCGCTTGGTTTGTTATTCGCCACCTCTTATCCTTACTCATTCTTTCCTCCTTCGTTGCTCCTCTGTCGCCTCCTCCGTTGGTGGAACCCTGCTTTGGAGTAAGTAGAGAGCGGTCCCTTCGAACGCCGAAGAAGTGCAGTAGATCCGCGCGAACTCGTCCAGAGTCTCCGGGTGCGAACCACTCGTTTCCATGACAACGACGACGACGACGACGACGACGACGACGACGACGACACGCCATCGTAATTTACAACAGGGACAAAATAAACGGTGGAACATGTACGCGCCTGGAAGGCAGCTCCTTTGTTCAACCTGACGAGTGGTCGCTTCCTGAATGCCTGGAGGGGTCCTGGACGCTTGTGGGGCTTCTGAGGTCCTTTCGAAGCACCGTCCTGCGAACGACGGCATCGTGGAGTGTAAGAGAACTGCTGGAAACTATATTGGAACAGTGTGGGCTCGCGTTTGAGCTCGTGGTGACTCTCCGGACCAGAGGACTCCTTTTGGGGCTGTTTTGGGCCGCCGTCCCGGAACCCTCTGGTGGCCGTTTTGGGAGTTTGGGCTGGCCAGGCACTTTTCGGGGGCCCTCTTGGGACACTCTGGGGGGCCTCCTGTGGCTCTCTTGGGGCTTTGAGAGTTCTCGGGGCCCTCGGAGGCCGTCCTGGGGCGATCTTGAGAGTCTCTGGGGATGCCGTGGACGCTGTGAAAGCGGAAAAAGCGAATATCTTCAAAAGCGTACGTTTCCACAGGGAATGGGGCGATTTTTGGCTCTTGGGGGTCCCTTTTGGGGCCTCTTGGACCGTCTTGAGGGCCTGGTGGGCCGTCTTGAAACCAGATTGGGTCCTCTTTGAGCGCTGATGGGCCGTCTCGGGGTCCGTTTTGGGCCCGTGGGTTCCGATCGGCAGGGGCGTCCAACTGCCTGGAAGGCCGCCGGGACTCCGAAAGGGCGTCCAGGGCGTTCGTTCGGTGGGGGGCAGGGGCGTCTGGGGTGTCCTGGGTGGGGGGTCCGGTTTAGGGGGGGGGTCCTGGTAATAAGAATATAAGAATAGGAATATATATATATATATATACATATATATATATATATATACATACGCACATACACCTATATGTATCGGTATCGTATTCAGATGCTGCCAGAGTCTGTGAATCGCGAGGCCATCCGCCACTTGTGGTGTCGACAGTGTTGAGCGTCCTCTCCTGCCAGTCCCTGCGATTGCTGAACTTCTTCTGCTCGCGGGCAGCATGCCAGAAGTGTTCCATCATTGCGTGTGTTTTCGTTCTGCAAGTGAGATAGCCGCAATGTTCCAGTGAATCCAGTTCAAGTCGGTCTCAAGGTCGTCCAGCAGCTCGGTGACTTCCATCGCGTCAACGTTTCACGTGCCGTTGGCGTCTGCGAGCGGCAGATCTCACTCCTCCAAGCGGATTTGGCCTTCTTCACTTGTCCGCTTATTCCTTTATCCATCTTGCTTCCATGGACGTCGCTTGAATGGCGTTGGCTGGCCCATGTATCCGATTTCATCGCTTACTGGCAGCCTTCTTTAGCGCTGCCGGTGTGGGTGTCCACATCTAGTGAATGCGCTTTTGTGTTTCAGGATACGTTATGCCAGAGTCTTGATTGTGATGCACAATCGCCATGCTAGCCGTGAGTCATCTGCCTGGAGCCGCCCCTGCTGTCAACTTCATGACAATGCGGCGGGGGGCAAAGATACGGCTGGGTGCGGTGCCCCTCACCGTCTTTCCAGAGGTGGCCCTGGGATTGGCCCATGTGATGCAAAGGCCCGTCGTATGGAGGCGGCCTTCCTCAAGCTAAGTATCTTACCAGCTTGCTGCTTGGCCTTCTGGATTCGGGTTTCGGCCTTTCTTTTGACGTCTGTCCCATGCCATGGCGTCCGAAGCTCGCCCAAGCATTCTACTGCTGGAAAGCCTTTTGTTATTTTCCGACCACCATCTTCTTCAATATGTTGATGTGTCGTTTATTGGAATTCCTGCAGCACGAAAGTCTCAGCAGGCTTCGCCACGTTCTCCTCCGCATTGGCTTTTGCGCCCTCAGTGTTGCCCATTGTATCGTCGACGTGTGCCCACGACGCCACACTTTGTGGACTCGCTTCTGGGCTGTTTGGAGCAGCGGGTATAGAAGCGCTGTTGCAACCTCGTGCCCTGCTCCGAGCCCGCGATAGTAGACTGATTAGGCAGTATCTTTGGGTCAACCCAATCCACGAGCTTCAAATGCCACGGTGCCAGAAACGCTGCCACCTCTAGCTGCATGGGCCCTCCCATAATTGAAGGTCGGTGCCCCCGCAGGTTGGGAATGCCCACCCTCTGGAACCTGGTACACGGACCGTTTTTCGTACCAGGGGTTGGCGGTTGGTATGTGCAATACGCATACTTTGTAACATCAGCCTTTGCTGCTCACCCGCATCGAAGGGAGTTATGCCGATGCGCTTCCACCTGGAAGGAGTTGTGCTCATATACACCGGACTGGGTGTTCTCCTAAGCACTGGGCTTGATGCGCTCATAAGCACATCACTTGGCACATACACAAGCGGCAGATTGGATGGACTCGCAGGCGCCAGGCTGTGGTTACTCTTAAAACACTGGGTCCGTGCCATCGCGCCGCTATGAGGCGGTACTGGATGAACCGTGCGACGCGATCTACGAGACCGGTGGTGTGACTCCTGGAGTCCATCGCTGGTTCTTGGCCAATTACTGTAGAGTTGGCGCGTTGATTCAAGTCAGCATGGCATCAGGCTGAAGGCAAGTATTTGGCTTCGTAGAGGGGAACCAGACTGAAGTGAGGGTGGACGAGGACGATGAGGAGGGGAGGAGGAAGAGGAGGAGGAGGAGGAAGAGGAGGAGGAGGAGGAGAACGGCCGCCTCCCCTAGTCAGCCGCGGGAGGCCGAGAGCCCCCCCCCCAAAGTGCGGGGCGGGAGGGCGAGGCGGACAGCCCCTCCGAGGGGGCCGCGACGCCCCGCCCGCGCAGGCGCTCCACGCCTTCAAGTCGGGGTCGAATCCCGTGCTGGTGGCGACGGACGTGGCCGCGCGCGGTCTGGACACGCCCCCGGCCCCCGCGCGGCCGCCGCCGCGAGGGGCCCCGGGTGGTGTGTGTGTGTGTGTGCGTGTGTGTGTGTGCGTGTGTGTGTGCGTGTGTGTGCGTGTGTGTGTGCGCGCGGACTCCGCGAGGGCGCCCTCGGCGCGGGGGGACGGGCCGCCGGCCCTCCGGGGTTGGCGACGGACGCAGCGTGCGCCAGGTCCGGATCGAGCACCGGGGCCCCCCAAAAAGGGGGGGCGATAAGCGCGCTCCCGAGTAGGCCCCCAGGGCTGGAAGAGACGGAAGCGCAAGAACCGCTGCAGGGTGCTTCGCGGATGGCCCTGGGGACCTGTTCGGCTGGGGGGCGGGGGCTTTGGCACGACACCACGCCACGGTCCCCCCCACCTCATTGTCTTGTCACGGGCCCTCCCCCCGGGCGCTCGGACGTTCCGCGCGGGCCCCAACGCGCTCACAAGACGGTCCGATGCTTCCGATGCCAGGCCCAGCGCGGCCCCAATGCGCCCTCAAACTGGCCGCGGAGAAGGCCAACTGACGCTCGAAGGCAGTTCCATGACCCCCTGGAGAACACAAGATCTCAATACCCCCGACTGGTCCCCCAAGAGGTCCCTGGGAGACCTCGTTAAGGCCCACACGGGCCAAGATGCTTCGAAAAGGCCACCCCGCGGGTATCGCGACATGCAGCTACTGCGTTGCGACGTTGCCCTGTTCTGTGCTTCAGCGTGTCCTCAAGGGAGGAGGATGGAACCATCGGAGAGGGAGGCTGGAGGAGGAGGAGTACGACGAGTATGTCGAGAAGGCGGACGAGTATGACGTGAATAAAAGTAAGAGTAGAAGGAGGATGATGCTGAGGATGAGGACGACGATGAGGATGAGGATGATGATGCTGATGATGATTATGCTGTTGTTGTTGTTGTCGTTGTTGTTGTTGTGATGATGATGATGATGATGATGATGATGATGATGATGATGATGATGATGATGATGATGATGATGATGATGATGATGATGATGATGATGATGATGATGATGATGATGATGATGATGATGATGATGATGATGATGATGATGATGATGATGATGATGATGAGGAGGAGGAGGAGGAGGAGAGGAGGAGGAGGAGGAGGAGGAGGAGGAGGATGAGGATGAGGATGAGGGAGGAGGAGGAGGAGGAGGGAGGAGGAGGAGGAGGAGGAGGAGAGGAGGAGGAGGGGGAGGTGGAGGAGGAGGGGGAGGAGGAGGAGGAGGAGGAGGAGGAGGAGGAGGAAGAGGAGGAGGATGAGGAGGAGGCCGAACGGAACGGCCTGAGGAAGGTCGCCGAGGAGGAGGGCGAAGACAGAGAGCCGCGAGCAGGAGGAGGCCGAGGGGCCTGAGTAGGGGCACCGGCGCCAGCGCAGACGGGCCAGAGGAGGAGGAGGAGGAGGAGGAGGAGGAGGAGGAGGAGGAGGAGGAGGAGGAGGAGGAGGAGCGGAGGCTGAGGCCGGCCCCATGCCGGAGAGCACCGAGGAGGGAGGACGAGGACAGAGAGCTGCGAGCAGGAGGAGGCCGAGGGGCCTGAGGAGGGGCGCCGACACCAGCGCGGCAGAGAGGAGGCTGAGCAGGGCGGGGCGCGCGCCTCGGGCCCGAGGGCCCCAGGGCACACGGAGGAGGAGGAGGAGGAGGAGGAGGAGGAGGAGAAGGAGGAGGAGGAGGAGGAGGGAGGAGTGAGGAGGGAGGAGGGAGGAGGAGGGAGGAGGGAGGAGGAGGAGGAGGAGGAGGAGGCGGAGGAGGAGGAGGAGGAGGAAACAAATGTACGTAGCACCCCGCAATTGTGGATAAGAGTGAGGGGGCGGCGGGGACGTCGGCAGTCTTCGAGGCTCTGAAGAAGCCCGCCGCAGGCGCCTAACTTGAAGTTACACAACAAGCTTGACGCAGGCGCCGTTGTTTTGCTGTTTTATCGGTGAAGCAATGTGGGTGGGTCGCCAAGTGAGTCGCGGGTGGGTCGCGGGTGGGTCGCCGGTGGGTCGCGGGTGGGTCGCGGCTTGGTCGCGGGCGGGTCGTGGGGTGGGTCGCGGGGGGTTCGCGGGTGGGTCGCGGGGTGGGTCTCAGGGTGGGTCGCGGGCGGGTCGCGGTTGGGTCGCGGGTGGGTCGCGGGTGGGTCGCGGTTGGGTCTCGGGTGGGTCGCGGGCTGGTTCGCGGGTGGGACGACGACAACAAACAACGCAACAGCATCATCAGCAATCCGGACCGCGGAGCCTCATTTCAGCCACATGCCCAGGGACAGTGAATGACCGTTCGGCCCCTTCACGCTGCTAATAATGTGAAAAGAGAATAGTAGACCAACAGCAGTAACAATACTGTTAATAAACATAGCAGGAATAGTATGCTGATCCAGAGTAGGGTTACAATGAATAACACTCATGACAATACTGTTATCCAGCGTTGGCCCCAAACGGCAGGCTCTTGCAATCTAAGCGGTGCAATATAGGTCGTGCAATGTATGCGATGCAACCTACGTAGTACACTGTATGTATATGTTGAGATGCGGTGCAATTTATGTGGTGCACTGTATGCCGTGCAACCTATGTAATGCAACCTATGCGGTGCGACTTATGTGGCGCACTGTATGCGATGCAACCAATGTAATGCAGTTTTTGTGGTGCAATCTATGTGGTGCACTGTATGTGAGGTCACCTATGTAATGCAACCTATGCAGTGCACTCTATGTGGTGCAATATCTGCGGTTTAACCTATGTCATGCAGTCTATGCGGCGCAATACATATATAGTGCAATGTATGTGATGCAACCAAATGTAGTGCAATCTATGTGTGGTGCAATGTATTTGATGCATCCATTGTATTGTAGTATACGTGGTGCAACTTAGGTGGTACAGTGAATGCGATGCAACCTATGTAATGCAGTCTGTGCGGTTCAATATATGTGGTGCAGTGTATGCGATGCAACCTATCTGATGCAATCTTTGCGTTGCAATAAATGCGATGCGGCGACGGCGACGGGCGGCGACGGGCGGCACCAGCGGCGGCGGGCGGGGATGGCGGCGACGGGCTTCGACGGCGACGGGCGGCGACGGGCGGCGACGGGCGGCGACGGGCGGCGACGGGCGGCACGGGCGGCGACGGGCGGGGATGGCGGCGACGGGCGGCGACGGCGACGGGCGGCAACGGGCGGCACGGCGGCGGTTTTGCGGCGAGGGTCCCGAGATGGTTAACCGAAGGAAGAACCCCTAGTGCTGCAAACACTGTTTGGGGAATAAGAAGAAGACGGGGAAAAACACGATAGGAAGTCGTCGGACATTCAGCAAGGAAAGAGCGCGTTCTGTGGGCGCTTGGAGGGGGGGGGGTTTGGAACCGGACCCCTGGATTGAAGGGAGGGGAGTTTCGAACCCCCTCTTCCCGCCTTCTCCCGTGACGGAGGGGGTTCAATCCCCCCCCACCCCCCTTTTCCCCCTCCCTCCTTCCCTACTTTTCTTCTCTCCCTCTCCTAGGGCTTGCGCCGGCGTCGGCGGCGGCTGGCGGCGGCGGGGAGCGTCGATGGACTCGTAAAGTCTTAGGGTCTCGTGGGAGGGCTCTCGGAAGCCTCCCAAGGGCTCCTGCGTGCCTCTTGGGCGTCTTTTGGGGCCTCTCTGAGGTGGTAGTGGTAGTAGGCTGTGCTGGTGGTGGTGGTTGTGGCGGTGGTGGTGGTGTTGGTGTGGTGGTTGGTGGTGGTTTTGGTTGTTTTGGTGGTTGTGGTGGCAGGTTGTGGTGTTGGTGGTGGTGGCGGCGGTGGTGGTGGTGGTGTGGTGGTTTCTGGTGGTGGTGGTAGTTGTAGTTGTGGTGGTGGTGGGTTGTGGTGGTGGTGGTCGTGGTGGTGCTGCTGGTGGTGCTGCTGGTGGTGGTGGTGGGTTGTGGGTGGTCGTGGTGGTGATGGTGGTGGTTGCTGTGGATGTGGTGGTGGTGTGGTGGTTTGTGGTGGTGGTGGTGGGTGGTGGTGGCGGTGGTGGTGGTGGTGGTGTTGGCGGTGGTGGTGGTGGTGGTTTGTAGTGGTGGTGGTTGTGGTGGTGGTAGTGGTTGTGGTGGTGGTGGGTTGTGGTGGTGGTGGTGGCGGTGGTGGTGGTGTGACGGTTTGTTGTGGTGGTGGTGGTCGCGGTGGTGGGTGGCGGTGGTGGTCGTGGTGGTGGTGGTGGTGTGGTCGTTTGTTGTGGGGGTGGTGGTGATGGTGGGTTGTGGGTGGTTGCGGTGGGTTGTGGTGGTTGTGGTTGTGGTGTGGTGGTTTGTGGTGATGCTGCTGGTGGCGGTGGTGGTGGTGATGGTGGGTTGTGGTGGCGGTGCTGGTGGTGGTGGTGGGGGTGCCGGTGGTGGTGATGTGGTGGTTTGTGGTTTGTGGTGGTGGTGGTGGTAGGTTGTTTTGGTGATGAGGTGGTGCTTGTTGCGGTGGTGGAGGTGGTGTCGGTGGTGGTGGTGGTTGTGGTGTGGTTCGTGGTGGTGGTGGTGATGGTGTGGTGGTGGTGGTGGGTTGTGGTGGTGGTAGTGTTGGTGGTGGTTGTGGCGTTGGTGGTGGTGGTGTGGTAAATTGTGGTGGTGGTGGTGGCGTTGGGTTGTTGTGGGTGTGGTGGTGGTGGTGAGTTGTTGTGTTGGTGGCGGTGAGTTGTTGTGGTGGTGGTGGTGGCGGTTGTTTGTGGTGGTGGTGGTGGTCGTGGGTTGTAGTGGTGGTGGTGGTAGTGGTGGTACTGGTGGTGGTGGTGGTGGCGTGGTGGTTTGTTGTTTTGGTGGTGGCGGTGGGTTGTGGTGGTGGTGGTCGTGGTGGTGCTGCTGATGGTGGTGCTGGTGGTGGTGGTGGGTTGTGGGTGGTGGTGGTGGTGGTAATGGTGGTGGTTGTCGTGGATGTGGTGGTGGTGTGGTGGTTTGTGGTGGTGGTGGGTGGTGGTGGCGGTGGTGGTGGTGGTGGTGTTGGCGGTGGTGGTGGTGGTGGTGGTTTGTAGTGGTGGTGGTGGTTTGTCGTGGTGGTTGTGGTGGGTTGTGGTGGGTTGTGGTGGTGGTGGCGTTTTTGGTGGTGGTGGTGGTGGTGGTGGTGGTGGTGGTGGTGGTGGTGGTGGTGGTGGTGGTGTAGTGGTTTGCAGTGATGGTGGTGGTTGTGGTGGTGGTGGTGGGTTGTGGTGGCTGTGGTGGTGTTGGTGGTGGCGGTGGTGGTGGTGGTGGTGGTGATGTGGTGGTTTGTGGTGGTCGTGGTGGTGGTGGTGTGTCCTTCGGGTCTTCCCTCCTCTGTGTTTTGGCTTTGGGTCAGGTGGTGGTGGTGGTGGGCTGTGGTGGTGGTTGTGGCCTTGGTGGTGGTGGTGGTGGTGGTGGTGTGGTGGTTGGTGGTGGTGCTGGTGGTCTGTTGTGGTGGTGGATATGGCGATTTGTGTTTCCCCTCTGCGGCCTCTGGGCCCTCTGGTCATCGTCGCTGCGTTCCCGCCGTCGGCGCTGCTGGCCGCCGCTGGCGCCGCCTGAGCGAGCAGGGTATTCGCACACCATATTATTCATCAGGTTTCGTGCCCCTCCCACCTCTCCAGGGAGGCCCCGCCTGAGCGAGCAGGGTATTCGCACACCATGTTATTTATCAGGTTTCGTGCCCCTCCCACCCCTCCAGGGAGGCCCCGCCTGAGCGAGCAGGGTATTCGCACACCATGATATTTATCAGGTTTCCTGCCCCACCCATCCCTCCAGGGAGGCCCCGCCTGAGCGAGCAGGGTATTCGCACACCATGTTATTTATCAGGTTTCGTGCCCCTCCCACCCTCCAGGGAGGCCCGCCTGAGCGAGCAGGGTATTCGCACACCATGTTATTTATCAGGTTTCGTGCCCCTCCCACCCCTCCAGGGAGGCCCCGCCTGAGCGAGCAGGGTATTCGCACACCAGGTTATTTATCAGGTTTCCTGCCTCTCCCACCCCTCCAGGGAGGCCCAGCCTGAGCAAGCAAGGTATTCGCACACCATGTTATTTATCAGGTTTCGTGCCCCTCCCACCTCTCCAGGGAGGCCCCGCCTGAGCGAGCAGGGTATTCGCACACCATGTTAGTTATCTGGTTTCGTGCCCCTCCCACCCCTCCAGGGAGGCCCCGCCTGAGCGAGCAGGGTATTCGCACACCATATTATTTATCATGTTTCTTGCCCCTCCACCCCTCCAAGGAGGCCCCGCCTGAGCGAGCAGGGTATTCGCACACCATGTTATTTATCAGGTTTCGTGCCCCTCCCACCCCTCCAGGGAGCCCCCACCAGAGCGGGAAGGGTGTTCGCACACCATGTTATTTATCAGGTATCCTGCCCATCCCACCCCTCCAGGGAGGCCCCGCCTGAGCGAGCAGGGTATTCGCACACCATGTTATTTATAAGTTTTCGTGCCTCTCCCACCCCTCCAGGGAGGCCCAGCCTGAGCAAGCAAGGTATTCGCACACCATGTTATTTATCAGGTTTCGTGCCCCTCCCACCCCTCCAGGGAGGCCCCGCCTGAGCGAGCAGGGTATTCGCACACCATGTTATTTATCTGGTTTCGTGCCCCTCCCACCCCTCCAGGGAGGCCCCACCAGAGCGGGCAGGGTATTCGCACACCATATTATTTATCAGGTTTCGTGCCCCTCCACCCCTCCAGGGAGGCCCCACCAGAGCGGGCAGGGCATCCGCACACCATGTTATTTATCAGGTTTCGTGCCCCTCCCACCATTTCAGGGAGGCCCCGCCAGAGCGGGCAGGGTAGTTGCACACCATATGATTTATCAGGTTTCATGCCCCTCCCACCCCTCCAGGGAGGCCCCACCAGAGCGAGCAGGGTATTCGCACACCATGTTATTTATCAGGTTTCCTGCCCCACCCATCCCTCCAGGGAGGCCCCGCCAGAGCGGACAGGGTATTCGCACGCCATATTTTATTATTAGGTTTCGTGCCGTTCCCGCCCCTCCAGGGAGGCCCCACCAGAGCGGGCAGGGTATTCGCACACCATTTTATTTATCAGGTGTCGTGCCCCTCCCACCCCTCCAGGGAGGCCCCACCAGAGCGGGCAGGGTATCCGTACACCATATTATTTATCAGGTTTCGTGCCCCTCCCACCCCTCCAGGGAGGCCCCACCAGAGCGGGCAGGGTATTCGCACACCATATTATTCATCAGGTTTCGTGCCCCTCCCACCCCTCCAGGGAGGCCCCACCAGAGCGCAGACAAGAAGCAATGGAACCCCGTAACATTTTTATGTGGGGAACTCCGTTAGCATAATTTTTATTAGCAGTCTTATGTTTTTTATTGTTGTTAATCTGATTGTCATTATTAGTGCTATCATTGTCCTTGTCTTGTTATCGTTATGTTTATTATGATTATGTTGCCCGTATTCCTATCAGGGTTCGGAATATGATTCTTATTGTCATTGCTAATATTCTTACTCTCATGATTCGTCTTGGTTTCATTATTATTATGACTCTTACTCCTATCACCCCCAGAATGATTTAATTACGGTGCTGTGCTAATGATAGCCCCGGGGGGTTCTTCAATGGTTTGATGGGGTTTAGCCGAGTCTGATGAGGAGGAAGACGAGGAAAACAAGGATGGCGAGAAGGCGATGAACGGTAACAAGTGGGAGTGGGACTTCGGGGGCCCGTCAGTCGCTGCGCGGTTGGATGTGGGTCGGAAAACGATTCGTCGGGGAAGTGCCCAGGGGGCGGGGTTCAGGGTCCGACGCAGCATCCCCCCGTGGTGGAGGAGCAGGCGCGAGCGGGGCAGTGAGAATTGCTCAACGTATTGTGTATGTTGTGTGAGTGTATGTGGGTGCGTCGCTCCCGGCCACTGCCCCGTGAGGGGGTAGCCGCCTCGCCTTTCTTTGCTCCTTTGTCTTTTCTTCTCTTTTTCCTGGCTGCTGCGCGCTCGGCCGCCGGCCGCGCGCCCAAAGGTGTGGCGAGTCGCCCACCCGCAGCGCCCGAAAGTGTGTGTGTGTGTGTATAGGTGTGTGAGTGTGTGTGTAGGTGTGTGGATGTGTGTGCGTGCGTGTTCGCCCGTTCTCGCGAGCCCCCCCTCGCTCCTCCTCCTGCCCCCTCTGGCTGGGCGCGGTTGTTTCACCGCCGCTTTTCCAGTTTCCTGCGTCGTCCTGTTTTTCCAGCTCGGACCGCCTACGCGCGTTTCTAGCGATCGATTCCGCACCATTTCACAAGGAAACCATTTCGAGGCATTCGCGGTCCGTTGTCTTGCTTTTGCAGTTTGGATGTAACCGCGCGTCGGAAGAAGGCGTGCGTGTGCATGTATGTACTTATGTGAGTACGTGTGTGTGTGTGTGTGTGTGTTCTCGTGCGTGTCACGTCTGATCTATCATCAGTGGTACTCCGGATGCTGCCACAGCCGTAAGGATATTCCGAACGTGGCGCTCGTGGTGAATTTTGACATGCCCAAGCAGATTGACGACTACGTGCACCGTATTGGGCGCGCCACCATGTGGGAAGTAGGGTCGAAGGAACAAGTATACCAGCCCATACAGTTTGTACAAGGTAGGTTCCTGACGTAGAGCAGGGAACAAGTGTACAAGCTCATGCGCAGAGCAGTTAACACTGACTATTTGACAGCCGCTGTGCGCTTCTAGCAATGGGGATCGTTCAATGGTGAAACGTTCACGCGGTGACAGAAAGCAGAGCCCACCCCGTCATGACAGGATACCGGTTGACGTACATGCGAGGGTGATCATGCAGCACTTCTCACCCATGCGAGTGCTTGTCCGTGCTACAGGTTTTCCATACTCGTTGCTCTGAGTGCGCCGGTATCTAGGAGGAGGAGGAGGAGGGCTGATGCGGATGTGAGAGTAGAGGTAGAGGTAGAGGAGATAAGGCTTAGGATGAGAATACGGATGAGGATGATGATGCTGATGATGATCATGGTGGTGATGATGATGTTGATGATGATGAGGATGATGATGACGACGATGATGAGGAGGAGGATGAGGAGGAGGAGGACGATGCTGATATTTAGGACAAGGAGGAAGAGGGGCAGGAGGATGAGCAGGAGGATTGCAATGATAATCAGGATGATGATTATGCTGATGCTGATGATGCTGATGCTGATAAAGATGATGGCAATGATTATGATGATGTTGATGCTGCTGCTGATGATGTTGATGCTGATGATGATGCTGATGATGTTGATGATGATAATGATGATGCTGCTGATGACGATGGTGATGAAGCTGATGCTGCTGCTGATGATGATATGGATGATGATGATGATGATGATGATGATGATGATGATGATGATGATGATGATGATGCTGATGATGATGGCGATGACTAGGAGGAGGAGGAGGAGGAGAAAGAGGAGGAGGAGGAGGGAGGAGGAGGAGGAGCAGCAGGAGGATGTTCTTGTTGGTGGTGGTGGCGGTAGTGATGATGATGATGATGATGATGATGATGATGATGATGATGATGATGGTGGTGGTGGTGGTGGTGGTGATGATGATGATGATGATGATGATGCTGCTGCTGATGATGATGATGATGAAGATGATGATGATGATGATGATGATGATGATGCTGATGATGATGATGATGATGATGATGATGCTGATGATGATGATGATCATCATCATCATGAGGAGGAGGAGGAGTGTGAGGAGGAGGAGGGAGGAGGAGGAGGAGGAGGAGGAGGAGGAGGTGGAAGACGAGGAGGAGGAGATGGGGAGGTGGGAGGGGGAGGAGGAGGAGGAGGAGGAGGAGGAGGAGGAGGAGGAGGAGGAGGAGGAGGAGGAGGAGTTGGACGAGGAGGGGTGAGGGAGGGCTGAGCAGGATGAGGAGCAGGAGGGGTCGGTTAAGGATGGGGAATACGAGGACGACGAGGAGAAGGGCGAGGAGCCGGAGGGCGGGAGGAGGAGCATGAGGACGAGGGGTGGGGGTGACGAGATGGATGGTGCGCGGAGGAGGGCGAGGAGGAGGAGGAGCACGGGCGGCGACGACGGCGAGGAGGCAGGGGGAGCCCGCGGTCCAAGGCGTACGGGCCGAGCCGGGCGCAAGGGCGTGGCCGTGTCCTTCGTGAACGAGAGGTGCCCTGCGGGGAAGGCAGGGCACACCGCGCGCCATCGCCTGCCCTGGCAACCGGGGGGGGAGGCAGAGGGCGAAGGCGGATGGGGAGCAGTCTTCTGCCCTCCCCCCCCAAACTTTGATATCGTAGGGGCTCCTGTGGCGCCCTCACCGTGACTGCCCGCCGCCGTCTACGGCAGGGCTCGTCATGGTGCCCGCGATCCCCTCGACGCCCCGCGATCCCCTCGACGCTCCAGCCCCTCTTCTCCTCCTTTCACTTCTCTCTTCGCGGGGATGGCGCCGCTGCTGGCGGCTCCCTTCCTGGCCGTCGTTTTTGTTGTTGGTCGTTGTTGTTGTTGTTGTGGTTGTTGTTGTGGTGGTGGTGGTTGTTGTTGTTGTTGTTGTTGCTGTTGTTATTGTTGTTGTTTTTGTTATTATTGTTGTTGTTGTTGCTGTTGTTGTTGTTGTTGTTGTTGTTGTTGTTGTTGTTGTTGTTTTTGTTGTTGTTGTTATTGTTGTTGTTGCGGCTGTTGTTGTGTTTGGTGTTATTGTTGTTGGTAGTGTTATATGTTGTTGTTGTTGTTGGTGGTGGTGGTGGTGTTGGTGTTGGTGTTGTTGGTGGTGATGGTGTTAGTGTTGGTGTTGGTGTTCTTATTGTTGTTGTTGTTGTTGTTGTGTTTGTTGTTGTGGTTGTGGTTGTGGTTGTGGTTGTTGTTGTTGCTGCTGTTGTTGTTGTTTCTGTGGTTGTTGTTGTTGTTGTTGTTGTTGTTGTTGTTGTTGTTGTTGTTGTCTTGGGTCGTTCGTTCGTCTCTTTCCCCTGCCTCGGCTCTTCTCCGTCCGTGTTGCGTGGTCGATGCTGAGCTTCCCTCGGTCCAAGCGTTCGGGGGAGCGCCACTGCGCGAGAGACGCGGGGGGAACCTCGACCGATGGTGGCAGTGCCTCCGGCACGGAGGCTGAGCTGAGCTGGACCTGCCCGAAGTGGGCTTGAGGTCGCTGTCCTACTCCGAACTTATTAATCAACCGGGGGGTGGCAAACGCGAAAACGCGGCGCGGCCAACCCCCCCTGGCACCACCCCCGCGCCCCAGCGGGGAAGGGAAAGAACCCCAGACCCCCCTGGCACCCCCGCGGACGTGCCGCGGCCAACCCCCCTGGGCACTCCAAGGGGGGGCGATTATTCAGCGATCCAGAGTGCCTTCCTGCGTGAGGCGCTCCAGAACAGGCCTCTCCTTCGAGTGTCGAGGGAGGTGCCGTCTCTCTCCCTCGGCGGAAGGGCGGCGGGAGCCGTTGGAAACCGGCGGAGGTGCGGCGAGGGCGCCTCCGCCTGCGGAAGCCTGCGGAAGCCGGCGAGAGGCCTGCGGCAGTTGGCGGAAGCAAGAGATGCGCCCCCAAGAGATGGCAACCTTTTAGCTGCCCTGATGCGCACGTTTTGAAGCGCAACACGTGCCGTGCTCAAAACGTACGTGTTCGGTCTACGTGTTGAGCTCCGTATCAATGCGCTGCGTGTTGCGTGTTGCGCATCGGGGCAGCTTATAAGGGCAACAGTTTTGGCCGCATGCCGGCCCGTCGGCCGCGCGGACTCCGGGAGGCCCGCGCCCGGATGGCTGTGTGTGTGTGTGTGTGTGCCGCTGCTCCGAGCGCTTCCCCCCTCCCGCCCCCGCGCGGCCGCCCTCGCTTTCGTTCCTTCCTCTTTTCCGGGTATGGCCAGGACCCCAGGTAAGGGGACCCGGTCAGTGTTAAGTCGGGCTTGTCCCTCCACAGGGGGAAATTTACAAATGGGCAAAAAATAGTATGGGGACGATTTTTGGAGTACTTGTTTGGGGGGCTATTAATTTTTTTAAATGATATTTTTGGTGCATTTTTCATTTTTCTCCTAAAATCCGCCCGTAGGGGGACATGCCCGACCTACGGTTAGTGGCAGGGACCCCGGAGCCCCTGAATTGGCCAGGATCACGAAACCAGGTTTGCCGTAGCTGGTATTTTTTCGGGTGACGGCACTTCCGGTCAGTGGAACGGGGCGGGGGTGGGCGCCCCCCGGTGCACGTCGCTGGACCAGGTCCCACGAAATCCAGTTCTGCCAACGCTCGACTCTTGCCTTGCACGCCGGACAATTCGCCTTTCGGTTGCCCCGACTAGCCCCATGCTGGTGCGGACTACCTCTGCTTCGCCGCCGACGAGTGTGCCGTTGCTGGCCCCTGCATCTCGGGGGTACCTTCCGCGGCTCGGGCTGTGTCTCGCTGGGGTCGGGTCGCTGCGGGGGGGGGGGGTCCGAGTTCGTCAAGCTTCGGGATCCTCCTGAGGGGGAAGCTCGAAGAAGACAAACCTTTATAAACATCGACTGTCGGAGCTCTGCGCGGATTGCTTGGGTCTGCGCTGGGCCCCCCTGGCGCGCTCCGCGCGCCAGTCAGGGGTGACCAGCGCATATCCGAGAGATCCGCGTGGAGCTGTGAGAGTTGATGATTATGCCGTTCTAAACTCTTCTAGAAGCCTGGTCAGGTCCCCTCTCCGTCCCCCCCCCCCCTCTCCCCTTCTCCACGATGGCCCACTGGGTGCCACCCTGCTCTCTCCCTTGACCCTGTCCGAGCGCGGCCCCTTTCTCCCGCGTGGTCTTCCTCAGCGCACTGGGTTTCAACCCTTGTTGTCATTTGGCATCTCGTGCATGTCCTCCCACGCAGAAGTGCACCATGTGCTCCACGTCGACCGGTGGAGCGCGGGCTCGTAACCCCTCCCCTTTCGCAGAAGCCGCGGGCTTTCGCCAGGGTGGCTGCAGCAGCCGGCACCGCCGCGCGAGCGGAGCTCGCCGTTGCCAGCACTTGCGAGCCGCCCCGTCGTCCGAAGGCACAGTCAACGCGCCGAGTGGGGACGCACGCCTTCACCCGGGGTGCCCTCGTGTCCTGGCCTCTGCGGCCCGTCCTCGCCGCTTTCACTGGCCACCCGCCGCCCCAAGAGAAACCCACCTTCGGCCTCCAAGGGTCTTGCATCCTTGCCATCAGGTCGGGCGTGTCCCTCTACAGGAGGAATATTCGAAAATAGCCCAAAAATAGTCTGGGGACGATTCGTGGACCATTCTTAGTGAGCACGTTTGGGGCATCTTTTCTTGTTCGCCCCAGCTCCCCCTGTATGGGGGACAGGCCCGACCTGACCTTACCACCCTTCCTTTGCACGCGCTTCGACTGCACGGAGGGCGATGGCGGAGGGGAGGCTCTCCGTCGCTCGTGCCGTCAGTCCCTGCTCACGGCGACCCGCCGGCAGCGCCTCGCAGCACGGGTCTGTCTCCCTCCGCCGCTCCCTCGCCGCCCGAGCGCTCCGCGAGGTGGGCGGCCCGAGCGCCCAGGCGCGCTCGGGGAGGCGCGCCCGAGCCGGCGCCAGGCCGCTCTGGAAAAACCGTCGCAGGCGGGGGGGGCAACGACGCGCCGCGTGCACGTCCTCGCGCAGCGCCCCCCCCGCGTTTTCGGGTGCCGGCATGCTCCCGAGGCGTTTCCGCGCTGCCTGGCCGGCCCTTTT